GCACCAATTAAACTACGGTTGATTTCATTAGAAAAACCAATTATTTTTCTGCAAAATAACATTAAAACGGGTTTAAAAATATTTAATGCCTGGATTTTCTTGAGAGTATCAAGTCGGGTAGTCAAAAAGGGCTAACTCGATGATGCGGTTTAGACACCTTAGCTAAAGAAATGCCTGGATTTTCTTGAGAGTATGAAGTCGGGTAGTCAAAAAGGGCTAACTCGATGATGCGGTTTAGACACCTTAGCTAAAGAAAACCTATCTTCGTGTCAATAGATAAAAGATAGAGAAAAAAAAACGTTTGATATTTCGCCAAAATTTCAGAGAAATTCATTCAGCCAATTTTTCCGTAGAGTTTTTTATAGATTTTTACGAAAAAGGCGTTTTTCACTCTCGAATTTGCTTGAAAGTGAACCGAAATTCATTTAAAAAGATGCAAATTGAACAAAAAAACACTTTTTTTATAGAGCAAACTATAGATTAATTGGTGAATTTGTTACTTTTTAACAGAAGTACGAAAAAAATGAAAAAGACTTTTGCATCAACCTAATAGTTTTGCACATGCCCTGGCTTCAAGAACACTCCAGACTGAGTAATCCAATGGGTTAAGATCGGGTGCGCTGGGTGGCCACTCAGGAAACGAGATGAAGTCCGGGAAGGTCTTTGAACAAAACTCTTGCACTTTCATTGCCTTGTGAGCCAGCGCACCATCTTGTTGATAAGTCCAAATACAAATAAACCATAAAAACCAAAAAATACACAAAAACCATAAAAACAGGTAAGCAAAAAGTGAAATAGGGCTCATAACATAATACTTTGTAACATAACATAAAATAATGACGCACGGGGAACTTTGTCACTCTTTCTCTTGAAAACTTTTGTTAAAAAGCTAGGAAAAATAGCTAGACAAGTATTGGACGAATTTTAGGAGTTGGTATTGTAGTATTTTTACTATAAAATTGTCAAGAAAGCTCACTTTCAGCAAACTCGTGGCCGTTCGCCTTGTTGTGCTCGATCGTGACCGCGGTTTTCTTCCTCATCCTTCTCACATGCAGTTCGATTCATTATAAAAGGTTAGTTAGTAGCTTTATGTGTACTTAGTGGTCGCAAAAGTGTAAACAAATGCTTTCTGGCGCACTCAATTCAATAATTCAAGCCAAACGCTTGATCGTTTAACTGATGCAGGTGGTTGAATGCGCCAGAGATTCGTTCCATCAATTGTAAGCCCAGACAAGTATCAGGCAAGCCTTGACGTACTTTATGCTTAAAGTGTAAACACACACGTTCTAGCACATCACTTTCTAGTAACTTGTGTGAAAAATGGATATTTGAATGCGCCAAAAGCATAGCAGCTGATTTTTAAGCACAGTACAGTAGAGTACACGAGCAAAGTACAGTAGAGTACACCAGCAAAGTACAGTAGAGTACACGAGCAAAGTACAGTAGAGTACACGAGCAAAGCATAGTAGAGTACACCAGCAAAGTACAGTAGAGTACACGAGCAAAAGCATAGTAGAGTACACGCGCAAAGTACAGTAGAGTACACGAGCAAAGCATAGTAGAGTACACGCGCAAAGTACAGTAGAGTACACCAGCAAAGTACAGTAGAGTACACCAGCAAAGTACAGTAGAGTACACGAGTAAAGTACACTAAAAACTAGACTCAAAAAAGACAAAATAATCTAAACCAAGTTTGGCCTACGAGACTGTATACGCTTAAAATACTGTCGTCGCGAAAAAATTTCTTCCCAAAAACTTCTAAATCCATTTTTTTCTTTCAGAAAAACGAATCGAACTGCTTCATTCAATCTGAAAGACGAGCTCGCTACTCCACAAAATGTCTATTATTAAATCAAAAACAAAAAAGACAATTTCAATGAAAATCGGCTTTAATTTGGTTATTTTGAGAAGATCTGTGATATTCTACAAAAAATTGCGAAAGAAACTGCAAAAACCGTTTTTTTGCTCATTTTCTTTTTGGCGCTTCACTGCTGATTGCTTGATCGATTTTTGTCAAATTTTTTCGCTAAAATTCTTTTCATTTATGTGTTTTAGCTATTTTTTATTTGTTTTAGAGAATTTGTGAACGATAAAGATATGATTTGACATTTGAATTTTTGGCTAAAAGCTCGAAAAAGCTTTCTGTTGCATTGTTTTTTTAAAAAAAAGTCGAAGATTTTTGATAACTTAAGAAAACTTACGAAAACTTGAGAAATTCTCGTGTCATTCCTATCCAAAACCTCAAAAAGCCGTTTCAAGTACAGGACTGGATGAATATATGCAAATTTAGTTTAACTATTCAAGATTTCGTCTATCGTATAGCCGATCCTGGATGTCACTGTAGCTAGTGGCTGTGTAAAATTTTACAATTTTCAAAAACCTGAAAAAGCTGTTTCAAGTACAGGACTGGCTCAATATATGCAAATCTATTTAACTATTCAAGATTTCGTCTATCGTATAGCCGATCCTGGATGTCACTGTAGCTAGTGGCTGTGCGTAGTTTTTAAAACGCTCAAAAACTTTCTCAAAAAAACTCAGAAATTTTTGATAATTTAAGAAAACTTAAGAAAACTTAAGAAATTCTCGTGTCATTCAACACTCAATTCACTTCATTCAGCTCTGCATTTCATTTTTAGCACTATTTAAAGTGTACTTTGTGCTTAAAAGCTTTGTGCTCTTGCAAAAATACTCTTTCTAATGCAATGAATCTCGAAGATTTCTTGTGAATTGAATTTTTTCAAGAAAAGTATCTCAGAAGCCTTCCTATTTCCCAAGCACTTATTTTTGTGCTCAAAAAATGGAAACACACCTTTCCTCGTCTCTCTTATCATGGAAAAGTGAAGAGTGGACCAAGAAAAATGTTTCAAGCACAAAGTACACTTCAACAGCAAGTATGAGCACCAGAAAAGCTATGTTTTTTCCATTTTCTTGAGCACAAAGCCTAAATGGATAATCTATTATTAAATACAGTCGAACCTCTACAGTTTCCTCTACAGCTTCCTCTACAGTTTCCTCTACAGTTTCCTCTACAGTTTCCTCTACAGCTTCTTCTACAGTTTCCTCTACAGTTTCCTCTACAGGTTCCTCTACAGTTTCCTCTACAGTGTCCTCTACAGTTTCCTCTACAGTTTTCTCTACAGTTTCCTCTACAGATTCCTCTACAGTTTCTTCTACAGATTCCTCGAATCTACGCCAGAAATTTCGTTTTGTTGCATGTCTGTGGAAATGATTGTAACAAACGGCGTGTCTTCTACGGAAGTGAGCATCATTGCGTTGCCGCATTTCTTAACCCGCATCAGTGCGCATCATTGCGTTTTCGATATGGCGATATGGCATCATGCAAAATGTTTTCGATATGGCTCGCCTAGAATGTTTCCATCCGATCGGGAAACCATGTGTCTTTGATGAGAACGACGAAGAAAATCCGGATAAAAATATGCATTAGTTTGTAATTGTTCATGCTTTTGTTTCGGCTTATTTTTGTTCATTTTCGTTGTTTTTATTTCTAAATCGTGATTGTGTTATTATTGAGTTGGTGAATTGAAAACTATTACGGCTATTACGGCTATTGAAAACGGCTATTGTCCTATGTCACAGTTTGAGCACTTTCTTCAAAAGAAACCCATTTTGGTGTGAATGGAAAAGTTGTAGAGAATCAAAAATGAAGCTTATATCCAAATTTTCAGAACGATTCAAAAACTCGTTTTCAAGAAATGCGAAATTTACGAATTTTCACAAAACTTGCATTTTAAGCGAAACTACTAAGTGTATCTTTTTGGAAATTTCGCTATAAGCCTAATTTTTGATTCTCTACAACTTTTCTATTGACACCAAAATGGGTTTCTTTTGAAGAAAGTGCTCAAACTAGGACATCTCCAGTCCTCTATTTTTGAGTCTCACACTTGTCTCACACACTTTTACTGGGAATTGCTGGATAGCAAGACGACCGTTAATGCAATCAAATACAGTAGACAGTTGGGAATGAATGAATGAAAAGGTGAATGAATCCCTGAAGAAGAACAGGCCCTCCAAGTCAAAGATCGTTCTCATCCACGACAACGCGCGCCCTCATCTTGCAAAACTGACCCGCTCTAAAATAAATAGCCTTGTTTGGGAACTTTCGGCACATCCCGCATACAGTCCGGACCTCTCCCGGACCTGAGTACTATTTATTCCGGATCATGAGTAATGAGCTTGCGGGAGAACACTTCGGTTTGGAAGAAGCAGTCAAAAATTGGCTTTGAAAGTTTTTCGATTCAAAACCAAAATCCTACAAGGAAAGAGGAATCCGCAAATTGCCTGTAAAATGACCAGAAGTCGTCAATAATAATGGAAATTATTTGGAATGAATTGATGGTTTTATGTTAAATAAATTTTAGTTCAAAGTCCCGCAGTTTTCAATTCACCAACCCAATAAATGCATGCTCATAAAGTGCGTTGTTGCTGATAAATAACAAAAAACAGAGCAACTTGGCTTAAAAAAAAGAAAAATAATCAAATTTAGGGTGAAAAAACACATGGGGACACTTTCTAAGGGTACCCTTAGAAACACTTTCTGGGGAGGGTACCCTTAGAAACACTTTCTGGGGAGGGTACCCTTAGAAACACTTTCTGGGGAGGGTACCCTTAGAAACACTTTCTAAGGGTACCGTCCCAGGGAGGGACACTATGGGAACACTTTTATGGGGTTACCCTAGGGACATTCGCTGGGGACACTTGGGCGCGGTACTTCAAAAAGTATACCCACCAACCCAATAATTCAGGATGAACTTCGTTTTCAGAAAAAGGATTATTTGGATAGAAAGATTCGATTTCCTATACATCGCTGGGTTTCTCTAATCATCTTCGCGAAATTTGCGCTTTTACGTTTTTTTGAATGGGGTACCGTTCTATTACAGTATTTGCGCTACCTAATAACAAGTTTTACTCGAAAGGCTTTAAGAGAGAACATTTATTACATTATTAAATCAAAAGTCAAAAGCAATCACATCAAAAGATCAACCGCTCGTTGTCGCGTTGATGTAGCAGACGATTTGCACGGCGGTGATCAAATTCCCACCGGTTGACTGAAAAATTACTTTATCGACATTAGATTTCAATTGATTTTCTTTGGTGACAATGACAGGCACTAGAAATGAAGATTTTTCGACTCACCCCCACATAGTCCCATTCAGCACTCGGCGAACAAAGGAAGTAATGGGCTGAATCGGAGATCACCTGGAGTAATGTGGGATCAGTTTAGAATGCTCAAATTTTTGCATGGGTTGGTCAGATCGACCTTCAAAAGAGTCTGACCATTACAATTGTTAAATTAATGACTATTACAATCGTTAAAGCAGGCGAAAAGTGAGCAAATCAATAAAAAGGAGGCTAAGCCTCACCGGACCACTGCCTGTGGTAACTTTGAGAACGAACTGGAGCAAGAAAAGCTAAAACACTAAAATGTTTGGTAGCTGTACTCTAGATTACTTTTTGCTGAAAGCTACAAAATGGAATAAGCCAAGCATTCTATTTGCCTCGTATAATACAATCGACTCTCTCTATAAGGGAATGGAAGGGACGAAAAAAATGTTTTCGTTATATACAGTGCCGTTTTATATAGCTTAGCGTCGGTCGAGACTAAAATTCCATTTCGTCATATAGAGCTTTCCCGCTATATAGAGTTCCGTTAGAGAAAGAGAGAGTCGACTGTATTATGTGATAGCTACGAATTGTTCTCCTCTTGTTTTCTCCATGTGATTATGTCTTTGTGTCCTTAATGATATTAATTAGGTACCCAACTTTGAGATCTGCTCTGCTTGGATGCTTGGATAAAGCTTCCATTCAAAGTAGTCTACAGGGTGTCCCAAAATCCTGGTTCCTGTTTTGTGGATCCTGTTTTGACAGATTTATTGTTTTATCTCGTTCTTTTCTGATTTATGACTAAAATTCTTTTCTATTAACTTAGCAATCTATTGTCAATCAATCTATCAATCCAGTTAACTTCACTTCCGAATGAAGAGATGCTCACCGGATTCCCATATTTGATATAGGCAAAAAATCGAGTCCCTGTTCGCACTTGAGTCATGACACCGAAGAACATCTGGATATGGATGAGTCTGAGTTTCTTGGATCATTACTCACATTTTTATTCGGGAAATCATTTCGCCGACATGAGTAGGTGGCTGTGAGACAACCGGCTCCATCCGTTCTGAATTTGGCAACTGAATCTACGTTGAATTTTGAAATCTATTCACTCACTGAAAATCATTGAAAAAACGGGTTCGTCTATGAGATTTCAAACTAGATAGAATAGAGAAACAAACCAGACAAAAGCCTGATAAAGTAATAGAATAGAGTCCCGTTACGTTAGCCTCTTGAGTCAAGGCAATAAGGTAACTCTTTTGAGTCAAAGCAATTCTGGATGAAGGTTGACAGAGCAACCAACGTATAGGTGAAAATCAAGGTGCCATTTTCGCCAGTAGCTCGGTAGGATGAGAGATTCTGCGCGCATCCTGAGCCACATGCTGAAATTGTTTTTTCGGGCATTGTAGGATAAAGGATTTTATATTTTATTTTATTATTATTTTATTATTATTTTATTATTATTTTATTTAGAGTCACAAACTTTGTTGTTTATTATGGTAATTAGAGAAAAGTAGCAAAGAAAAACTCACGAGGACGTGTCGTAGTTGGTGGTAAAGGTGTTGTCTTGAAAGGAAATGGATGTATTATTTGAGAGGATTCACTTTGGAGTAAGAAAAGATCGATATGGAAAACGATCGGACCTGATCTGGTGGTGGGATTTGGAAGAATTTTGGTACTACGCCAGTTGGGGGTCATTTTTTTCTTTAAAACCACTTTTTCTGGGGTAATTTTCTTAAAACCACTTTTCTGGGGTAATTTTATGCGTAGATTCCGAAAAACACAACGAGAGCTTGGGAAAAAGCGTTTTAAACTGAGCTTTCACGGCTGCGTACAGCCATTATTACTCTTCATCAACAAGGAAAAACACTCGCATAGATATCTCAAATCTTGCTGGAAAAGAGACAAAATGTTTTCCACGCTCTGAAGCGTTTCAAAAAATGAGCTCCAATGCGGCGTAGTACCAGGATTTCGGAGTCATCCTGATCGAATAGAAATCAGGATTCAAATCTGATATGGTTCGATTAAAGATAGGCCATTCCATGTCTTCCAATTGTACAAACAAAAAACCGAAGATTGTAAAGAATATTGCCAAATTTGCCAAAAGAATATTGCCAAAAATCCTCTAAAAAGCCGTACACGTAAACCACAAACCGCCTCTATGCACTCGGGATCGGTGAAACCGGGCGGGTGGAGAACTTGATCGGGCGCCAATTGAAGGCCACATTGAGTCTTGTTGGTGACCAGATTTTTCACCTGTAAACGAAAAAGTCGTGTTTCGTTTCGACCAAATCTTTTGTGCACACTGAGAAGGGAATGTCAACTGACTGAGCCTATCAAATGACATGCAATCTGTATCATTCGACTCAAAATTTCACGCTGATTCCGAATCTGGTTTCCGTTTTTGCCGAACGTTATTCTGGCAGGAGTTATAAGCGCTTAAACTTTGTTAGGACTCTGGAAATTTGGGTTTTTTGGTCCTTAAGCGCCTTCTGCGCGGCCTCGATTCTAGTAGGTCATGGTCGAGCGGTAGAGCGCTCAGTCAGTTGGCCGGCTCAGTCAGTACGCCTTTCCTGTAGAGCTGGGTAAAAAGAAATTTTGTAGGCTAATTTCTTTAAAGCCTGCCAGCAGTGCTGGGTTTTTCAGCTAGTTCGGAATTTCGGAAAACTAGATCAAACCAGAGGATGATCAAAGCAGCATTTATTTCCCGCGCATGGAGTCCTCGGACAAGTGGTGGTTCGATTGGTTGGACCGCTTAATAAAGGAGTTTATGCCGATAACTCTAGAAAGCTCACGTGCAAGGACATTCGTATTCAGCTGATGTGCAATTTCTTATCTGTTTAACTGAACCACAAAGCCCGCAGGTCTTCGTACACGCGCCTACGTTCGACCATGCCGACCACACGCCTAAACAGGGAAACTCGAGCAGAGAAGATCAAGAGATCAAGTTTAAATGGCATTAATGAGCCACAAAATTTGAGATTTGATTTAGATTGAGAAATAATTTTGATTTGATTTGATTGTAGATCGAAAAAGACCTCCAGGCGGACACGGGAAGCAGTCGATGATGCCTACATATAAGAAATTACTCAGAAAACACTGGCCAAACCATAAGCCGATGAGCCGCATTCAGCGTAGTGCCAGTCGGTGGCCAGGCTCACGTTGCCACAATAGTATTTGCTGCCACCAGCCGGCTTCCACTGAATGAAAATTTTGCCCCTTTTACTACTCGCTACTCGACTTTTCATTTTCAATATTTGGGAATAGTCGATTTCTCAGAAAATTAGTTACCGTAAAAATTCTAATAGAAGACCTTTTGAAGGGAGGTTGAGAAATAGAAGTTCAGTCTTCAATAGAAAAACCTAAACCTTAAAATGCACTATTTTGCAACCGTATCCCGCTATTAACCATATTTTCTTGCAAAAATCATTGTGCAAAGTTATTATTTCTTTACTACTAGTATTTTTTCAATCCTTGTATCTTGTTTTTAAAATAAATTATTTTTATTTTTAGTACTGATGACTGAGCGACTGCCAATTCGCACGAATTCTCTGGAAGGATATCGAGCTATTCAAGAAGCTGACGGAAAACGGTGTTGAATTCCTTCAAAGAACAAAAAAGGAGAATGGAAACGAAATGAATCAAGATTCTGAGAATGATTTGGATACTCTTGACACGAAATTGCACAAGAAGAGAAGAAAACGGAAGGCCTATTCGATCAATTTCAAGCTGGAAACAATCGAATTTGTAAAGCAGGTCTTGAAGAGTGCTGCGAGCATGTTTCAAGTCAGTAGAAAATGATTCACGAATGGATTTCACAAGAAACTATTGCGGAGGATGGGAAAGATTCGGAAAATTATTTGGATACTCTTGACACTGGATTGCTCAAGAAGAGAAGAAAACGGAAGGCTATTAACTATATTTTCTTGCAAAAATCGTTGTGCAAAGTTATTATTTCTTTACTGCTAGTAATTTTTTTCAACTCCTTGTATCTTTTTTTTAAAAATAAATTATTTTTATTTTTAGGGCTGATGACTGAGTTGACTGCCAATCCGCACGAATTCTCTGGAAGGATATCGAGCTATTCAGAAGCTGATTGGAGACGGTGTTGAATTCTTCAAAGAACAAAAAAGGAGAATGGAAACGAAATGAATCAAGATTCGAGAATGATTTGGATACTCTTGACACGAAATTGCTCAAGAAGAGAAGAAAAACGGAAGGCCTATTCTGATCAATTTCAAGCTGGAAACAATCAAATTTGCTCAAGAAGATCTTGAAGAATGCTGCAAGCATGTTTCAAGTCAGCAGAAAAATGATCTAATGAAATCAATCTAATGAAATTGATCTGGGCGAAGACGAGGAAAACAAGGATTACGAAAGCGATGACGTTAATGACGTTGACGTTAAAGTTAAATTCGAGTGACGTTAAATTCGGAGTGACGTTAAATTCGAGTGACGTTAAAGTCGAGCAACGTTAAAGTCGAGCAACGTTAAAGTCGAGCAACGTTAAAGTCGAGCAACGTTAAAGTCGAGTAACGTTAAAGTCGAGTAACGTTAAAAACGGTGACGCTAATGCAAATGAAATCGAGGATGATTTAACGGATATGCTCGTTTGAAATTGTTTGTTGTTGTTTGTTAATTGTTACTTAAAGACCCTTTAGGAAGGGGTTTAAAAAATTGAAGACCATGATCTTCTATTAGAATCTTTATGGTAACTCGAATTTGTTTCAGTGCCAAACCTTTTATAGTGGAGCAGCACAGACGGGCGCTAATCCGCATGGATTCGTCGGGCAGGGGACCAGACGAGAATAGGGACCCCTAATGTGAGAAATGTTGTTGAAACAAAAAATCCTCTGACTCACGCTATTCGATTCAAATCGTCTGCTATTTCAAATGTGATAACGAAAATTTACGATGGATAGCGAAACTTACGATGGATACCGAAAATGGTGAACGAATTACCTAAGCCTAAGCGACTCCAGTCTTACGTCTTACGAGGGAAAGGCACAAATTTACGGTGACCTTTTGAGATAAGCCTTGGCACATCCATAGAATCGATCTCTAAAACCCAAACATGAACCCAAAAACTTGTATCCCAAAGATCTGGCGTTAAAGGCTTTGAGAGCAAAAACTAAAAACGGATTCGTGATCAACATGGTCGATTCGTGCCAAGGCTCATCTGATTCGGCGATTCGTGCCAAAGCCCATCGTTATTTTGTGCCCTTCCCTGTTAGTGGTGACACCGGGCCGAGAGAATGCCGTTTGAACCCACGTGCACGGACATCCCCAATAAAACGAATCACACGTTCTTCGCTGCACTTTTCTTCCTTTTAGACCGCAAGTTTTCGAGCACGTCGTGTAGTCGGTCCATTTCGACCAGACGCCTAAAGAATTGATCGATGTGCTTTTTGTTGGTGAATGGAAATCTCAAAAACCAGAGATTCTATGTACAGGGTGGCGCAAAATCACCGGTGCACCTTCTCAGCAAATTATCAATTCAAAAAACGCCGCAATTCAATTCAGAAACCCTAAAAGTTTCATATAGAGAATTGAAGCCAGAATTCTTGCCGACATTTCTGTACCAAAAAGTCCTCGATTAAAGTTTCTCAGCCCACTTTGCAGACCCTTAAATGAGCCCAATTCGACTGGTCTCCAGGACGCTATCATTTGTGATTTTTGTGTTTTCTGACGAATATAGGATGCGCAATAATTGTCGCAACATGGTATCGCGCGCGTTCAAGGAAAATAACTCATTGATTTAAGCTTCATTTCTGGTTTTTTAATGTTTTTATTATATTTGGAATATAATTGAAACTTTTTCTCATATAAAATGTGTTGTTTTTTAGAATGGCTGGAAATCCCCCATCGATAATCGATCATCGAATTACACAAGCGAGGAGTCTCAGCGCCGGAGATTCATAAGGGTCTTAAAGTTGACAGAAGTGTCATTTCCCGCACTATTCAACGCTACGAAGCTGCAGGAACAATTGCTGATGCACCAAGAAGCGGTAGACGCCCAACTGTCGTCACAAAGAAAAACATCAAGCAAGTGAGGGACCGAATTCGGAAGAAGTCAAACCAGTCGGCAAGGGAAATGGCAAAGAAGATGGCGATTTCAAGCACCTCATTGCCTCGGATCCTCAAAAATAAGCTCAAACTTACTGCTTACAAGAAAAAAAAGGCTCAACTTCTTTCAAATGCCACTAAAAACAAGCGAAAATTGAGAGCAGGTCAATTATTGATGCGCTTCAATGAAATCGACCATCACAATATCTTGTTCACAGAAAAGATATTTACCGTTCTAGAAGGCAAAGCTTGTTTAAAGCCCCACAAAAACATCGAAACCTTGAAGAAATCACTGTTGAAAGCATGGGAAGAGCTCGATGCAGCCTATTTGGTCGCTACCGTTGACGTCTCCAAGAAACGCCTGCGAGCCTGCTCAAATGCTAATGGTGGCCGATTCGAATTTGATAGTTGATTTATAATTGTTAATGTACAATAAGTGTTATCCAGTCTTTTTGTCTGCCTTAAAATCAAAACTTTATCTTGTTGCGACAGTTATGGCACACCCTGTACAATACGACAATATGACCGCAGCATTTGTTTTTGCTTTTGCGAACATTGCTCTTATTCTGTTCAGAAAGTGTTTTTCATTGCCTAACAATTTGCACATTTAGAATGGGTCTCACTTTGGAGTTATAATTGGGAAGTGCAGTGTCTCAAAAGTTAGCTGCTAAAACTGAGTCAACGATTCTCCGCAAAAAACCCAAACACTCAAACAAACCAGTTGTGACATTCGAACAAGTCGTACAACATCCCTGAAGGCCAAAGCCCTTGTGGCATACACGGATCGGGCCAGAGATCGCCGATTGCGTCGACGAAGCTCACTACAAAGACTTTACATAATGGAGTTCTTTTGAAAGCAGCTAAAAACCCGGCTCTGCGGCCCCTGTGGCCTTTTCGGCTTTTCAAAGTTTTCATCAACTATGTGATGTGTTTAAATATTGTAGCTTTATAAACTCTTTCCAATAAAAAATCAAACAAACCTGTCAAAAAGATGAAGATCAAAATGGTGATTTTCAGGAACATTTCTGATACAAAATGACTCTACCGGAAAACAGTGGGGGAACAATATTTATGAGCCGCTTTTGAGCGCAAAGTTCACGCATTGTGGAATTTCTATGAAAAAGTCGAAGCCGATTTCAATATTGATTTCTTTCGATGTTCCCGCAGTGATGGATGTTGATTTACATGGAATAGAGTGGAATGAAATTGTTTTTTTTCAGGAAACTAGCCAAAAACCGACCACTCGAAAGTTCGCAAATTAAAAATGCTGCTGCTTTGCAGAAATTCGAGCAAAGAGCACGTTTTTCGACATTTCACCGAAAATGGAAAATCTATTGCCTATTTTGATCTATCGAAAATGTATTTTGAAGTCACAGAAGCCGGTATTGTTATGTAAAGATTAAGCAATTCACTATTTTCTAAGACTAGACACGTTTAAAAGTTTGATCAGTGCAACTGCTTAAGCTCAACTCAATTTCACCGTTGACCATCTCGGTCAAAAGAGCCACAATCAGCAAAAACGAGAAGAGGAAGATTTCTGATGAAAATGATTGAGATTGATGAGCTCTCTTGTCTATTTAAAGGCACATTTTGTGACAGAAATATTCTACAGCGGCTCTTGTTGCCAAATTTAGAAGTAATCTCTTTTTTACATCAAAGCAGGATGCTTTATGATAGTTAATTGACGATATTGGTCGTTAAATTTAGAAAACTTTGATTTAGCTATGGTCTCGAGTGAGATTTTCAAAAGATTTTGACAAAGGTACTAGTTTTTGAACTCTCTTTCGATAATTTCTAATTATTAGCACAATTATTAGGCTTCGTCCCAAGCCTGGGCTTCGTCCCATGCCTGGGCTTCGTCCCAAGCCTGGGCTTCGTCCCAAGCCTGGGCTTCGTCCCAAGCCTGGGCTTCTGTCCCAAGCCTGGGCTTCGTCCCAAGCCTGGGCTTCTGTCCCAAGCCTGGGCTTCGTCCCAAGCCTGGGCTTCGTCCCAAGCCTGGGCTTCGTCCCAAGCCTGGGCTTCGTCCCAAGCCTGGGCTTCGTCCCAAGCCTGGGCTTCTGTCCCAAGCCTGGGCTTCTGTCCCAGGCAACTAGAAGTTGTGCAGTTGATTGGATATTCTTTTCGAGATCTTCTGCTCAAGAATGCTTCCAACTCGAGTACAGGGGGTTCAAATCGCGAGAGTTACTTGACTAAACATCCTTGTTCCAAAAGCTCGGAAACAATGACACATTTGAAGCGTTGAACGAGCTCCATGGGCAAATGCTCAATGCTGTTGAGCAATCCTGGCAAATGCTCAACCCAATCCAATCCGTAAATCTTCAACCGACAAAATTTTTGGCAATCCCCATTCGAAAGAGGGCACTGTAGACTTTGCCTTGTTAATCGGCATTCTAAAATGAGTCTAAATGAAGGAATTTAGCTGTGAATTTCTTGAAAACATTTGCTTAGCTTTATATCGCCAACGCAGTGCTTTCGTGCTTCTGCAGACTTTTGTAGACGTGGAACGTAATCTTCTGTAATCGAAAACTATTTTTGAATTTTTTCGAGTTCAAAACATTCCAAAACATCTTTGGCAAGTCGAGTCATAATTTTAAATGCAAAATTTTTAGGACCTGATAAAGAAAGGAATTCTCTTGTAGGTATGTGCTTTAGAGGCTTTAGAGGCACTTTAGAGTGCTGTGCTTGGAACGCATTGGAGACTTCAAAATGCATTTTAAGCAAATCTTTTTATTCAAATTCAAATTCGAATTCGCCGAAATCGTTCAATGCCTGAAGTTTCGTTATGTTCGGAAAAGGGAACGGGCACGAGCATTTCATCTGGAATTATCGTGCACAAGAATTGTCGGGCTCGACACTCCACCGAAATCCATTTCCCACTGTCCGCATCCATAGAAACACAATCGGCCGAGTTATTTGGTGCATTTAAAGTCAAAGAAAATCGATAAAACTCCAAAAACTCTACTCACTCGGAGCCCAATTCTCGTATTTTAGTGGTAGTCCGTCGGAATAAGTCCAAGTGTTATCATCGTTTCGTCGAACTCCGATGTACGGAGCAGCACTGTTCAAGTCTGAAGTTTTCGTTACGAAAAACTACATTTTTACATTAGCGCCCAGAAAAATATGTCCTTTCCAGAGGAAGTTAATTTTGCGGGAACTATGTCCGGTTATCTGAATTTTTTGATTCAATTGAATTCAAATTCAAATCAAAAGAAATGATTCAATCGAAAGGCTTGGTCACGCCATTAATCCCAGATAAGAAATCGAAATTCGAATAGAAACGAACTTTGGTCGACAATTCGATAAATAAACGAGTTCTCGAATGCGTTTTGGATTTTCGCCAATTCCCGTACAAGTTCGCGCATTGGTCGACCGCATCGTCATAGTTTTGTGCTGAAATTCTCTGAAAACCATAAAAAAAACATTTAGTCGCTCTAAATCTGATCGCTCTATTTTGGAAAATTTTTGATCCCTTCCATTCCGTTGTAGAGAGTCGATTGTAATCACATTCTTAACTGAGATAGAGAGGGGATCCAGAGTGACATCCAGGATGGAGGCAAAATTCAAATCAATGGAAAACTGTAGAAGTTAAATGCGTTGAGTTGAAGGGCTTTTTATAAGAAAAAGGAAAAATCGAGGGAATCGATGTTGGGATGTTTTTAGCGGATCTTCAATCTTCAATTTTGGAGAGCTAACTCTATTTTGACCACACTAAACTTGTCCCCAAAGTGACTCGATTCTTTTTCTCGGTCACTCGCATTTCGCCCTCGAAATTTCTTCAATCGAAATTTCAATTCGATCATTTGAAACACGTATTAGCCTATTTTGTAGAGAAGATTTACAACTTTTAAATAGTTTATAACATTCATCGATAACATTCATCGATATCAGGCTTCTCTACCGTTGGAAATTTATGAAATCCGCATTTCTTATGTTGAAACTGCATTTCTTATGCATGTACCTATAGTAGGGATCTTGCTGCAGTTGTTAGCTTTGTCTAGCGGATACAGCTTGTAAAAGATTGATTAGAGTGTTCAGAAATCGCTGTGACTGTGGAAGTTAAGGGTTTTTGCTTGCGAGCGGGCAGAAGGTTGGTGGATGGTTGAGGGAGGAAAAAACGAAATATGGTCTTAAAAAATGGATACAAAGTACTTAGGTTTTCAAAATCAGAGTGGATTGCAGCTACGGAATTCACTCGGAAATGGGTTATACCTTTGGGAATTTTCAGCTACAAAAAGCCCACTTTTAGCTTTTTTAGCTGCTTTTTTTATGAAATGAAATGAAATCCCTTTTTGCAAAAACAAACGTCGTGTTACCGCGTACACACAAACATCCTCATTCGGTATTTGAACGCTTCCCTTTGGGCATATAATTAAATTTGAGATTTGTAGAAAGAAAGCAAATTCAAGAATAAAAGAAAATGTTTTCATTTTCAGAAATTTTCTTCAGTTTTCAGCTTTTCCAAGTTCGTTTTTAGATTATAGCTCGTTATCTAAACGGAAGTGATCAAGAGGAAAGATACTAAGCGCTTTATAGAGAATTGTTTTTTGGAAAATGATTTAAAAGTGCATTGTACGCTTACAAAGATCAACGAAATATCTCATTTTACATTGTATATCACATTTCCAGATTATCCCACAAGACTGTATTTGGCTTGAATGGCTAAGAAGATCTCAATGTTCTGTTTAAGCTAGGATTTCTATTGAAATAAAAAAAGAGATAATTTCAATGAAAATTTGCTTTAAATTGCTGCTTTTGAGAAAATCTGTAATATTCTAGGAAAAATTGTAGAAAAAGATTTAGTTTTTGCTTTTTTGAAGTGGGAAGGGAGTCCATAAAGAGTTCGATAGGTTTAAGGCGGCTCTGGAGGTGCTCAGATTTGTCTAAATCGATAATCCTCTAGTCCTGAGGTCACATTTGGTTCCCTTAGCTGAATATCTTAATCTTACTGGTATATTAGTGAAGTGGGGGTGGAGTCTTAAAGAAGTCCAATAGATTTTAGGGGATCCTGGAGGTGCTCAGGATCTTGTTCAAATCGATAATCGTTCATCCTGGAGGTGACATTTGATTATCTTAACTGAATATTTTAGTCTTACTGGTATATTAGTGGAGTGGGTGGAGTCCATAAAGAGTCCGATAGGTTTAAGGTGGCTCTGGAGGTGCTCAGATTTGTCTAAATCGATAATCGTTCGTCCTGGAGGTCACATTTGGTTCCCTTAACTGAATATCTGACTCTTACTGGTATATTAGTGAAGTGGGGGTGGAGTCCATAAAGAGTCCGATGGATTTTAGGGGACCCTGGAGGTGCTCGGACTTGTCTAAATCGATAATCGTTCATCCTGGAGGTCACAACTTATTATCCGAACTAAATATCTTAGTCTTACTTCGGTATATTAGCGTGAAGTGGGGGTGAAGTCTTAAGGAGTCCAATAGACTTTAGGGGACTCTGAGGGGTACCCAAATCATACTTTATCCATAATCCCCCATCCTGGATGTCACTCTAGATCCCCTCTCTATCCCAGTTAAGATTTTGTCAGTTTTCACCTCTTTGGGTGAAAATTGATTGTTAGGGCGTTTCTGGATTCTGGAAGAAAAGCTAGGATTTCTATTTCTCGATGTTCTGTTTAAGCTTAGATTTCTATTGGAGTCAAAAGAGACAATTTCAATGGAAATTTGCTTTAATTTGCTTATTTTGAGAAAATCTGCGTGACATATTCTAGAAAAAAAAATTAAAAAAAAGGTTAGTTTTTGCTTTTTTACGCTTCACTGCTCCAGTTGATTGCTCGGGGAAGTGCCAATGATTTTGTCAAATCTTTTCTCACAAAACTCTTTTCATTTATCTTATTTAGTCGTTTTTTAACACTGAATTTTTAGAAACACTATCACATTTCCTGGTGCATTCTCTTATCATGAGGAAGTGAATACGGTAGTGCGATGGTTACCAGACCCGTAACCAGGATTTCGGCGCTTTGGGAAAATCGCTAGAGGCTTCGTCCAGAAGCGTTCAATCAATTTACATTCAAAGAAGAAAATTTAGCAAAAATCTTCCGACTACATCATGCCTACAATAGAATTTTTTTTCTAAATGAAAACCACTGGGAAAAATTTGAATTTTATCAGAGAGAATTTAGGAGGGGCAGGAAGCTTTAAACCTTGTAGCCTGTTTTAGGAATCCTAACCGGTTATCCAGGAACTTCTAATTACCGCCAATCGATTCTCCATGTCGGTTTACGTGCGCAAGTCAGATAAAAATCTGATTTAAGGGGCTTCAAGAGCGAGCTAGAGGGAGGCAAAGTTGAGCAGAGGCGCAAAAAAATCGTGATGCTCGGACTTTTAAAATTGAATTTAACTGCTCGGGACTTGTCCCAATCGATAATCCCGTGGTCCATCCCTGGAGGTCACAATTTATTATCTTAACTGAATGTTTTAGTCTTACTGGTATATTAGTGGAGTGTGGTGTGGAAAGTCCATAAAGAGTCCGATAGGTTTAAGGCGGCTCTGGAGGTGCTCAGACTTGGTTCAAAATCGATAATTGTCCATCCTGGAGGTCAAGCATTTGATTATCTTAACTGAATATCTTACTCTTACTGGTATACACGAAGTGGGGGGTGGAGTCTAAGGAGTTCAATAGATTTTGGAGACCCTGGGGATGCTCGACCTTGTTCAAAATCGATAATTGTTCATCCTGGAGGTCACAATTTATTATGTTAACTAAATATCCTAGCTTTACTGGTATATTAATGAAGTGGGGTGGAGTCTTAAGGAGTTCAATAGATTCTCCTTTAGGGGGATTCTGGGGATGCTCGGACTTGTCTAAATCGATAAATTGTCCATCCTGGAGGCCTAAGCAATTTATTATCTTAACTAAATATCTCAATCTTACTGGTATACTACAAATGAAGTGTGGGGGTGGAGTCTTAAGGAGTCCAATAGATTTTAGGGGGATTCTGGGGATGCTCGGACTTGTTCAAATCGATAATTGTTCATCCTGGAGGTCACATTTGATTATCTTCACTAAATAAATAATGAATTAGAAAGATGCGTTTCGAGAGTGTAAAATAGACTTTAATGGCCAAG